CGCAAACCCACAAGTCCTCTAAAACTGAAGCCTCTAACCGTGATCAACCGGAAACCTTGGATCGAGTCGCTCGGATGCAGCAGCTCGCCACGTCCGGGAAAGCCTTTGTGGCCGCAGCGGCGGCCTCTGCAGCTTCCGATAAAACTTTGGGGCTTGGTACTCGGGCATGGGAAAGGGCTTGGTTTACTGCGGGACCTTTCCTGCAAGTCATGCCGCATGTTGAAAAGTGTGGCGTCAAGCATCCTGTCGCTTCAAACACAGGGCGAACCCAAATCCCACGCACTCAGTTTCTGCAAATAGAAATTTTGAACATCCACACGTTGACCACGTATCCTCCCTAGCCCGGCCAGAGAGCTTTGAATGCCTGGGCCAGCACCAGCGTAGAGCTGGGAGAGAGGTTGGGCCTTGGCAGAAGCCTTCTCTGAAAGGAAGATATTACAAACCGTACAATTTTTTGTGAGGCCAAAAACATCTTTAGGGCTAAGCAGTTTGGGTTCGAGAGTAAGGTCTTCCTGACTAGCGCACACTTGTATAGCAGCTATAACAGATGGCACATCCCTTTTGACTCTTCGTGGGGAGTGTCTTTACTTCCTAAGCATTACCAGGGACTCTGCAATGTGGCAAACTGAAACAGTGACCAGCTGTCTTGAGTTTGTCCAGCGACTGGGACACCAGGGCCAGCTTCAACTGCTGCTGCAGGTCAGCGCGGACCGCCTGGTCAGGGTTCTGAGTTTGGGGCTAAGGTCCTGGCGGTGTTCTGGGCTTTGGGTTGAAGGGCTTAAATTCAGGGTTTAGGCTTATAGAGCGCACTGTCAGCGCGCTTAATGATAAGGGACTGAAGAAAGCGGCTGATGGTGAGTGGCCAGGCCGAACACAAACATATACATGTTGGGATTGATCTGGGTTTTTGGGGTTTTGAGTTTAGACTCTCGGGTATGTGGATTTATCTGGGATTCACGGGAATAGCAACATCACAATCGCAGGCAATGCCAGAGCAACGGTTTGGAGCCCGCATATCGCTCTTCGCACTGCGCAAAGAGAAGTCTTGTTACGACCGCCTAGACTCCTTAATACCGATTTGCAGATGCTCCCGCTTATAGTCGAAAGCAGTGCAAGATCAAAGATGAATGGGCAGCAATAGAAGGCTTTGCCTTCTCTCTCGCTCTCTCTGTCTCCTTCTCCTCCTTCAAGATCCAAGGCCTAAAAAACCTCGAGCCCAGGGAGCCAACTCGATCGTGGAGGCTTGAAATAACAAAACCAAAACGTACAAATGGGATGAAAGCCAGTTCAAGCAAACCATGCAAGATCCTGGAAGCGGAACCCCAAACAATCTGGAACCTAAACCCTAAACCCTAAACCCGAAACCCGAAACCCTAAACCCTCCCGTAGACTCGCAGACCTTAGCCCGAGGGAGGCTCTGAAGTTCTGGCTAAACCATCCGGCCCTGAACCACAGCCTTCGTCCAAACCTCAGAATCGTCGGAACCAAAGCATGCTACCGTACAGTGTAGAATTCTCCTCAGACCCTGCATCCTAAGTCCTCCTTTGAGTAACTTAGGCTCTCCAGGTACTTACAGTGCCTCCGCACACTCCTTGCGCGTCAGTGTTGGGCAGCCAAGCTGGCAAAGCTTCCTGGGCCGCATCCATCCGGAGTGTTTGCTTGGTTCCCAAAATAGGAACTTGGTACTTGTTCTCGAGCTCTTGTCTTCCAGCTGAAGACATTGGTCTGCAGGTTTGAAGACTTTAGGCTGGGCTCACACTGCAGGGTTTTACCTACTTTTGCCTATCCGGATGTACTGCTCGTAGGGCCCGACGACAACTCCAAACATGGCATAGAGCAGTCGTGGGGATCCAAAACCTTAAGCCTGAAACTCTAAAACTTGTGAAGCTCTTACGGAGACACTTTCTTCCGGCTCGTGTCGGATTGCTCTTCAAACATCGAACAAGCTGCTACATACCTCGGCCGTGAGGGTGCACCCTAAGCACATGAACCCGGTACCCACCTAACCCGATGCTACGACAATGAGCCCTGGTGCTTTCGGGAGCTTCAACATACAGGGGAGCCCCAAATCGTCGGGATCGAAAGAGCTGAACCCTAATCTTCCGAAGCGATGCTTTCTCAAGAATTGAAGCCTATCAGGGGCCTCCCCTCAACCCTCAACCCTCAGCCCTTATCTGCTGAGTCGCATCAGCGTGACAGCCCCATTGTGATCTTGCTTCGCCTCGGTTGAAGCTAGAAGCTCGGGAGCCCCGAATTTTGGGATGCTTGTAGTGGGCTTCGGCTTTAGGGCTTGGGGTGTAGGGTTTAGGGTTTAGGGTTTCAGTTTAAGATGGAATCGGGGTGTAGGGTTCAAGCGAGGTAGAGGGTTTGAGATGCATCGAACCCCAGAAGGCAAGCTGCGGCGGCTCAGTACCCTGTTTCGACTGACCTCTGCTGGGCTGCGTTGCTTCCTTTATGCCTGCGTGGCTTACAGACTGACCTCGGCTGGGCTTCGCTGGGCTGTTGGGCTGTCGCGGTGGGCTGGGCCCGGGCTTTGGGCTCGGGCTTGGGCGTGGGTGGCCTGGGTGTTGGCCTTTGGGACCTTGTTGGTGTTGCGCTTGGCCTTGGCTTTGCGGTTCGGGCTCGTGGGCTGGGCTGGGCCAAGGCTCGGCAGGCCTTCGACTCAAAGTAGAATTTCATCAATCATGTGATCACCGCTCGATAATCAAAGGGACCTGAAGTTTAAGCACCGTTTATGCTCTTGTCGGCGGCAGACTGACCTCGGCTGGGCTGGGTGCTGGGCTACTGGGGGCTGGGCCGCCTGAGCCCTTGGTGCCAAGCTTAGCCTTGGTTTGCTTTTCAAGCTTGGAAGCCAAGCGCCTGGCATGCAAAGTCATCGATCGGATGCAGTGGCACAGTATCGACATCGCTCCAGACCGGCAACGGAATAGACATGCGATGACACACGGACACTCTGCATGCTGCACGAAGGTGACCCGTCTAAGCCCGGTGCTCGGAAAGGAAAGGCGGCATCCGGCCCTGCGGCTACCTTGTGCTGTGGCTTCCGGGTCTACTTAGGATGTTAAGTTGAAGATTTAGGGGTCTGGGGTTTTGGGTTTGATGAACCAGAAACCGGCGCTGGGGCTTTAGGGACAAAATATGACAAAATTTTGGTTCAATTACAGCTGCTTTGGCGAAACGTTAAGGTCTAGGGTTCAAGTCGGAATCAGGGTGTCAGTAGGGTATCAAATCCAAAGATTTGGCTTAAGGCTTGGGGCCTTGGACCTGCCTATCACTTTCCAGCCCCCCTCCAGTTCTACTAGACCCGAGCTATTATTATTGCCTCAGCCCGAGACCTTTCCTTATCTCCTTCATATCCCCCAAACTTCCAACCCCGAATCCTGAACCGAACCGGAAGGCATCACAGAGGTGGGCCATGCACCCCTGAAGGCACAGAACCTAATACGTGGGCGAAATATGGTTGCCCCGAGTTTTTCCGAAAAAAGCCGACAAGACCCTAGGTCGGTGCCTCCCACGCTGTTCAGTACACTATAAACCAGCACCCAGTTCCTGAAGCTTGCGCTCGCCATAAGTTACCCTAAACACCCCAACCTACAGCAACCTCAAGAAAATCTGCCTCAACTGCTCCCGCAACAGCAGGATACACTCTGTTCCCCGAGCCCTACGCCACAAAAGCCTGACAGCGCTCTAAGACCTGATCGAATCTCACAGTTAAATTCCTGAAACCATCAACCCAGGACAGTATGCACAGCATTGTTCGGCCTTTTTGGGACAAGCCTCTCCGTAGCTCTAAACCTGCGAACACAAAGGCCCTACTAAACTTTACTATAAGCACTTTCTTAGCATGCTGTACAAAATCCTGAAAACGCAGTACAAGCCTTTCTTGAACCATCATTTCGCACGTTCCGGGAAAGCCCGTGCAACCCCCCGAAAACCCACCCCTCAAACCCTGCCTAATCCCTGATTGCATAGACCCTGAACCCCTGCACCCTAAAATCCCAACCCCCTGAAGCCCTACCCCTTCATAAGCCTTAATAAATTTTTATGACTATTACTAAGTATTACTATTGTCATCACCATTATTGCTACTACTACTACTACTACTACTACTACTCCTACTACTACCACCTCTATACTACTAAGCTCAAACTCAAGCCTCCTCCGCGATACTCAGCGAAGCCCGAGCCATGGTCATGAGCCTGTCAGTCGCAGGGTGCACCAGGGATCTCTCTGTACACTTTGTACACAAAAAATGTCGGGGTTTAGGCGGTTTAGGTTGGAGTTTAGGGTTTAGGGTTTAGGGTTTCGGGTTTAGGGGAAAATTTTGGGGTTTAGGGTTTGCGGTTTGGGAATAGGGTCTCACGTGCAGGATTGGGGCTTCTAGGGCTTGGGGCTCGAAGCTTTTGAGCTGAGGGTCCAGGTCAGGTTGGTTGTTTAGTTTAGGGTTTAGGGTTTAGGGTTTAGGGTTTAGGGTTTAGGGTTTAGGGTTTAGGGTTTAGGGTTTAGGCTTGGGGACTTGGGGTGTTGGGGTTTTGAGGGCTCAGAGGATTTAACATCGCGGACAAGCTTCAGATCCAAGGTTTGCCCGGCGCCAACTGCATAACTTCGCGTGCCCATTTATGCGAAGACAAGAGTGTCCGCGGAACTTTGCAAGTATATGCATAACTTCGTCTAACTTCAGACTGTGCCTTGCGATGCCTCATGGATTCTTGAGTTCGCAGACATAGGTACCATCAGCTGGGTCCCTGGTTGAGAACAGGTGCGAGCGGCTACTACACCAGCAAGCATCTGAATCCCGCAGCAACCTCGCAGAAAACACTGGTGTATACACAAAGTCCAGCAACGCATCACCCGGCTCAACCCCACAACCACAACAGCGAACACCTCTATTCGACTCCCAAACTCCAAAGCATGAAAATCCGAGCCTAAACACCATGAACCCAAACCCTTATAAATATCACCCTAAAGGGCCAGATCCCCAATGCTGAACACCTGAAGCCCAAAAGCCTAACACGCTGAACACTTGGGTGGCCTGTCCCCAAGAGCTGCGTCCTGAACGCACAGCGGCCCAAACACCCCAGCCTCAAGGACTGGTTTTGGGGTCCAAACACAGGGGCCGTCAGAAATAGATAGGGCTTTAGGGGGGGGTGTATATATATATATACACATGGCATGAGTAGTTAGGAACCTTATGGTGGTAATCTGAATGGATGTTTGGGTCATTCCTGAGTGGGCGATTCACGGCCAAAGCTCCTCCGCCGACATGGCCTGTAGGGTTTAGTGCTTGGGTTTTTTTCAGGTTCAGGGCTTCAGGCTACAAGAATGGATCCTGAATTTGTTGCACGTCCTGTCGAGCGGCACATTGCAAGAACATGGAGATCAGTTGCCGGTGGGCACCAGACTGCAAAAGTGGGCTGCGCTCGCCTGGGGCAGGCTATCAGTGAACTCGTCTTCAGGCTTTCGGATTTTCCGTGGATCACTTGACTTAAGGTCTTATTTAGGGTCTTATCGAATTAATTAGAACACAAGCTCTGGATGCGTTCGATTCAAGTCATGGTGGTGCCATGTACGGGGCGCCCTTGCGGACGAACACCTTCTTCCAAGCGACCCAGAAGTAGCCCATGCAGCTCTAAAAGCTGCTGGGAGAAGAAACCAGCGGCCAGAAGCCTGATTCAAGCTTCGGTGCAGACTTCAGGGACTACAGTGAATACAGTTTTAGGGCTCCCGTTTCTTTGCAGGAGGTAGGAAGACTTCATCGGAGCTACAGATTCCTCTTCCTCCGGACTGCAGGCCTGACAGCTTTAAAACCCTTGGGTTTGGGGGCGAAGCTTTGGTTGGCAGCTGGGGAGGCTTCGATCTAGTCCCGGGATCCTAAGCTGGGGTTTCGATTTGGGGACGTGAGCGGCAAAGCGGGTTCAAATCTGGGGGAACCTTTGAAGCTTTGCCCTGGACCTACTGACCCCAGAATCGTCGCACCAATCTCTCCAAACCAGACGCTGCCAAGAAAGATACTGGCTACCGTAGGATGCAGCTGCAAAAATGACCCCAATTCCGATGAGAAATGACCCCAAGCTCCTCTTTGTACACTAAACTGAATTGCTTAACAAGTTGAAGCCCTCATGAGATGTGCCATCTTCGTTGGGGACCCCGACTGACTAGTCCAGCTTCAGAGAATCTCAACACTGAGGCTCCAGCTCTTTGGCCAAGGCCGACAATGCGTGCAAAGCCTTCCAACGAATCGACTCAGGATATGAGGATCCTACTATTTGGGGTACTATATAATGAAGTAATGAAGAACCCTGAGTAATGATCTCCTTCCTTGTTCAAGGGCCAGAAAAGTACGATCTCCATTCTGCTCATCCGGCTCGTCTGCCTACCCCAAAAACTACCCGGAGCCAGCTAGCGACGAGCTCCCAGTTCCACGAACAGCTGCGGGCTGTGCAGGGGACTGGAAAGGTGCTGGAATGACCCTCAACCCTGGAGGACACGAATCAGTCTGCTTCATCGCTTCTGGTTGCATTTTCTGTTGCTATTCAAGTGTCATCCGAGGATACCACCCCAAGCAGGTCGGAATTCGAGTGCCGAGCAGATTCGTGGAACCTCCATTTTGGGGAATCGCAGGCCCTTAATTCCAAGCCACAAGCCTTCAGCCTTAGGCCTTTCATTTTCGCCTTGTGTCGGCCTCTTCGAGATGACGCCAATCACCCAGGAGCCGTCCGCCGATGTCACTGCGGATCTCCTGTCATAGCCCAAAGTAGGAGAGAGTAAAAAATAGAAAGAGGGAGAGACAGAGAAAAACAAAAAGATAGATAGACAGAGGGCTTGGTAGGCAGGTAGATAGATAATTAATAAGTAGACAGGCAGATAGATACATACATACAGAGATTCAGAGATGGAGAAAAGAGGCCAATACTCCATAACTACCTCGACGCTGGTTCGAAGTAGACGGGGTTGCTGAGCTTAACTTGAATGCAAGAAGGATCAAACATGCGCAGCTGCAATACGGAAGTATGAAAGAAGAAATCTGCAATGTCAGTGTGTCGGCCAAGTAAGTCCATCGAGACAAAGGACACACAAACCTCGAAGCCCAGGACATGCACGGGCCACGTCCAGGGTGTTGTCGGCAGCGTGCCAACACTGACTCGATAGAGTCAGCGGATGAGCGTGGTGACGGTGGCTTTGGAAGGTAATTGTCGTTTCACTGCACAGCGCCGACGACTTGCACAGGCAACCTGCCCACCTGTTCTTCACAGCAAGCGAAGCCAACGGCGTTCGCACCCACGGCAAGGTGAGGAGGGCTGCCGCTCAGGCATGTGGTAGCTGTGCTGAGGAACAGACTTGAGATGCGCTCAGTGTGCGAGGACTATCAACCCAAAACTCTGCGCAACAGCGATCCCGCCGCTCCGCTTCAGTTTTGGGGAACCGCAAGCCAAGGACGAACGTCGGAAGTCTCAGATCTTCTGTTTAGGTGTAAGCTCGATCGTGCAGCTGTAAAGCTACAAGACAATCCCAGGCTGCTCCTCCAAAAGCAGTGGCAAAAGCCTTCCCGGCGCCGCCTCGCGCTGCCGTGCCTAAGGCTTGGGGTTTGGGGCTTCGCAAACCAGGGATTTGGAGAGCTCGGCCGCTCATGGAGTTTTTTTTGCTTTAGGCTGTTTAGCCTTCGATTTCAAGGTGCAGAGTTTCGAGTCCAAAGCTTGGGGTTGAGGACTTAGCAATACCAGTCAAGGTTGATTTACAGGGTTTTGGGTTTAGGGGCTTGCGCCAGGTCTATATGCATGTACAACGACTCGTTTCGGAGCTTGTATAGGCAGGCTTGTACGGCTCGGAGACAGGGCTGGCAGGCAGGGTGGACGTTCCTAACACGTACAGGCAGTTCAGCTTGGTCCAGTTTGGATGCTCAGACTCTGACGTCTGAGAATGTCCCCTTGGTATGACCCCGCCCGAGTAGGTGGGGAACTCTCACACGGGAAGGCTTCCGATAAGTTGAAGCCAGATTCCTGAAATCCGCTCGGCGGGATAGAATCCTCAGCCCAACCCAGATTTCTTGGACCAAGCTCCGAACCGCCCTGTTCTGAACCCTCATCCCGACTCATCGGGAGAACGCTGGACTCGGAAGAAGCCTAAATTTGTTGATACCCCCAAACCCCCCTAAACCCTAAACATCCCTAGACTCTAGATGCTCACCCCCTTAAACTCAAGCCAAACCTTTCCCAGATGAACCCAAACCCCGAAACCCTAAACTCTAAACCCTAAACCCCTAAACCTTAAGCCCCCCCCAAACCCCAATCCCCCCAAACCCGCCAAAACCCCCAAACCCCCCCACCCCCAAACCCCCAAACCCCCAAAACCCCTAAACCCCCTAAAACCCCTAAAACCCCGAAACCCGAAGCCCCCTAAACCCCCAAACCCCCAAAAACCCCGAAACCCGACAAGAAACCTTGGGACTGGCCGTGGCTTTCGGCGAGGGGCCTTCACACAGCTTTGAAGGTTTTTGGGGTATTGGGGGGGTTTGGGGAGTTTTGGGATTTAGGATTTTGGGTTTTGGGCTTCGGGTTTTGGGTTTTGTTTTGTCTTTCTTGATCCTCTTGTCTCCCTAATCGGCTCCATTGCGTCTCAAAGAGAGGCCGCGGCCAGGGCAGTGGGACGCCATGCTACTTTAGTCCAGCGAAGGGGTTTCGGGCTTTGGGTTTTCGGTTTGGGGTTTATTGGGTTTCTTGTTCAGGGTTTTTTTGCGGTTGGGTTAGGCCTGCGTGGCCTTTAGAAGTTTGCTGTAGTGGCTAAGACCCAGGTGACCTGCAGTCTTCGAGTCAAAAAATAACCATGAGCAGTGACTATCCCTCAAGCAGTCGAACGGCGCAAAAAGCAAGCCCTCCGACCCCAACTTCTTAGCTTCAGCAAGAGCCTCGCATCTGAATCCTTGCGGCGATGACACCGACCCATGCCACAAGTCCGACTCCGCAAAGACCGGAAGCCTTTATCTCAGATGCCCCCACACTCCGAAGCTGCACTCCCAAAAACCCCAGTAGAGCCTAGATCGCAAAACAGTACGGACCCTATCGCCCTGCCCTGATGCCTGAACCCTAATTAAGGCTCTTCGTGTTGCCTTTCGGCACCGGCGTGGCGGCACCGAGCTCCCGTAGAAAATCCCTGGCCTTCCGGCAGCGTGGTTTCGGTCCAGCTCGGGTTTGCAGGTCTGGCATGGGAATTGTCTGGGTATAGCTGGGTTGGGGCTTCAGCGCCCATAAAGTTCAGATTTGGAGTTTAGGAGTTTAGGATTCATCTTTCGCCGATTTGGCGTTGATGATCTGAGGCTTCGGGAATTGCTTGGCAGAGGGTGGGTTGCCGGCCTGCACACTCTACGACTGTGGGATTTAGCGATCGGGGCCCGGGGCCTCATAAACCTGACGCGCCCACAGGGGTTGATTCCCGAGGGCACCCTCAGCGCCACAACCTGAGTCCGAAACACTGAAAGGAACGACGAGTGTACAATAACTGCAATCACAAGTAGCCAATCAGAAAGGCCCCTAGCTTGAGGGGCCAGTGGGATCTGGGGATTGACACGTTCAGTGCAGGGTTTGCAAAGTTTCAGGTTGAGGCTTCAGGTTGGGTCTTTGAAGGGTTGACAAGCATCAACCAAGACTCAAGAGGCGCCGACGAGCTCATCAAGGTAGAAGGTGTCGAGGGCTTCAGGTTTGAAGGGTCCAGGGCGGCTTGGAGGCAAGCAGAAGTTTGAAGATCGGGTTTCCGCGAGAAAGAAGGCTGATCTGAGAAATGCGCGCCGCATGAAGCAGCAAGGAAGAGGCAACGGACGCCTATACGGGCTAAGGACATGAAGCCGATTGGTTCCCATCTCGTCCTTGGCAACTCGCAAGAGCCTTGTCACCCTGCCTATTTGGGAGTTTCCGAAAATAGGGGGCCCTAATATAGTACCCTAACTAATAGGATCCTTATTATAAGGACCCCCAAAATAAGGTACCCTAATTTTCGGAAACCCCAATTTCAAGCCTGTCAGCCCTAGTAGAACAGGTTCGCGGCAGGACAGCGGCACCTCGCGGCGGAACTGCACAAACCCGTCGCGCTCCTGACACACGATGGGGAGTATGGCCACCCAGAGAGTCAAATGTATAACCCAACGTGCAACATGTGGCAAGCATGAAGGGGTTCCGGGCACAGGCGATTGTCGCTGTCATTCGAGAAGCGGAAGGCTGGGCTGAGGGGGAAAATTGCCTTCTCGAGGCACCGGAAGTGTGAAGATCCCAAGCCGATGCACGATGCACCTAAGAAATCCACACTCTAACCTGCTTGAAATCGGTCTCCTCAGCCGACCAAGTGACAAAGTCCGCAGGGAAAGTCGTGGCGTTGCGCAAGCTGCTGGCGGCCTAGCAAAGGCTGAAAAGCACCACTGCTCGCGCCCAACTTCTCTCTTCCCGGCCCGGGTACGTACTGATTCTGGGTGAGCGGAGGTGCTCGGACCCCAAGCTTCCTTAAGCATAAAATAGGTTCGGATCGAAGCATGGCTTGTGCAAAACTAGCTGTGCTTCTAGAGGAGAATGCTGGAAAGATGCTCAACTCGCTCCTTTCCGACAGTATAGGCGAGCCTATAGAGTTGGTAGATTCATACTTACTTTTGCGGCTTTCAAGGGGGCAAGCACGCCGACCAGCAAAACCCTGAACCGCGCCCCCGCGAACAACACTGAATTCCGGCGAACGGGCAATGCAGTTGTTCGAGTATCATCCTGCCACTACCAGCACACCCACCATCATCATCGGCTTCAGCGTCGAGATCGTTCATGATCTTCATCTTCGCCATCATTCATCAGTCAACATCGTGAGAGTCCAGTGGTGGGATCCGTGCCTTCAGGAGAACTGGCGAGTAGATCTCTTGAGTCTCTGGAGATGCGTCCATTACACATCGGTGCCTGAGAGTGAGGCTAAAGGGGTCTGCAAAAACGGATATATGGCTCTATATGTGTGTATGTATATATATATATATATGTATAGAGAGAGAGAGAGAGAAAAAAAAAAGAGAGAGACAGAGACAGAGACAGAGACAGAGACAGAGACAGAGACAGAGACAGAGACGGGGAGAGAGCGAGAGAGACGCAATGAGAGAGAGAGAGAGAGGCGAGGCGCAGAGAGTAAGTCGTAGGGTCAAGGTACGACTACATTGCATGTAGAATGAGGGTTCCTTCCTCTTGACATTTCACTTCCCAAATCTTGGGGCCTCGAGTGTTGAAGCTGAATTCTGGTCGATTTACGGCTGGCGACCGATGTGAAACCCTCTAAGGAACCATTGCGGAACCCTTAGAGGAACCCTGAAAGAACCCTGAGGAGACCATAAATCCAGAACCGTAAGCCCAGGCACAGGTCGAGCCATGCGCCCGTGGCAATGGCCGCAGAGTCCGCACCCCAGGAAGCACATTTCAAGAGGGCCTCCGGTCTTCTTTTTTGGGGGGTTTAGGGCCTCCGGTTTAGGACTTGCACCGCTACAGCTTTGGGGGGTCTGAAGCTCAGACTTCTGACTGGGCAAAGGTGCCTCGTCTCCCGCACTTGGCTACAGGTGAGCGACGATCTGGCCATGCAAACCCTCAATCCATGACGGGCAACGACGTATGACCAACTACCGCAATGACAGCAAGCAATCAAAATGGAAGCCTCAACTACGATGTACCAAGCCTGCACCAACTCCCACTTCAACAGTCAAGAAACACTTTCCAAGCCCCTGACAGTTCCAACACCCAGACTCAGACCTCCCAAAACCCCCATCCGACAGGCAATCTTCAACGTTCATTCTCGAAACCGTGGCGCCCTAACGTGCTGGACTCTTGCAAATTGAGACGTTCATAAAAATGCGGAATCTAAACGAGACCCTAAGCAGAGGATCCCAAGCCCATACAAAGACTTTACGACTGCCTCGAGCAGCCGCGTCCAGGCTTCCGGAGGAGGCAAGGTCGCCACGAAGCTGCGCCAGGAGAAGACCTGGGCGCTGCTGAGCTTTGGGGCTTTCGGGCTGCAGGGCTTCAGGGTTTAAGGCGGTTTAAGGTTTAGGGTTCAGGGTTTACGGGTGAGATGATGATCGGTCGGTGTGTGTGTGTGTGTGTGTGTGTGTGTGTGTGTGGGTGTGTGTGTGTGGGGGTGTGTGTGTGTGTGTGGGGGGGGGG